TATTCACGTTATCACGTTATTTCGTGATAAGTTTCACGTTATTTCGTGATACGTTTCACGTTATTACGTGATAATGTGAAACTTATCACGAAATAACGTGAAACTTATCACGTAATAACGTGAAACTTATCACGAAATAACGTGATAACGTGAATAAATAACGTAATAACGTGAAACATATCACGAAATAACGTGAAACGTATCACGAAATAACGTGATAACGTGAATAAATAACGTAATAACGTGAAACATATCACGAAATAACGTGAAACGTATCACGAAATAACGTGATAACGTGAATAAATAACGTAATAACGTGAAACGTATCACGAAATAACGTGAAACTTATCACGTAATAACGTAATAACGTGAAACATATCACGAAATAACGTGAAACTTATCACGAAATAACGTGAAACGTATCACGTAATTACGTGATACTGAGCCAATTTTTTTTTCTCAGTGTGGCAGCAATACACTTCCGTAGCAAAATGGTCATTCAAAGGGCAGATAAAATACTTACTCAGAGGTCCAGAAAAGTTAGGAAAAGTGCTAAAAAAGCCTGGGTACACCTGTAACGGCCAATCAGGGCTTCACCATACACAGACATAGAGAAGAAAAATACCAAAGACAAAGCAATTCTCATATCCGTAATGCTGATTCTTTTCCTCTTAAAGCTTTTTCAACATCACACTGACGGTGATAATCAGCTTCAGCAACTGCGCCGTGATGTAATTGTGACTGCCGTTGAGCTAGTGACCATGCCTGAGGTCAGTCATTTTGCAACCTTACATCTGAAATGAACACATATGGGAATAACCAGAATTTGTATGGGTTCTGTGTAGCTTTTACTAAGCGAGAATGAACGGAAAGTCATCTTATCTAAAGGAGAAAATGCATGTTTTGTAAAAACAAATTTGAGATAATTTTTTAAGAGAATTTATTTTGCAAATTTTTTTCTGAAGAGCAGTGAATCATCATGATGGAGTTAGTTGTCCACCATGTTTATCCAATATCACTTTACACGTAAGATAGATGAGCAGAGCTATTGGTAGGCCAGGAGTGTTCAACATATGGCCCGTGGGCCAAAACAGCCCCGCTAGGATGTTTAATCAGACCCACTTGATGAATTTTGAGAATTAAAAAAAAAAGTTATATTTCATTAAACATGAATAAATAATAATACATTTCTAGGTTTCACCTACTCTCTATCTTGCTTTAGGGTGGAGTCAACTATAATGGTTTGAAGTACAATATTACAGTTGTTGTCCTATTCTTCAACGCTTGGCTCTCTGGTAACTATGTTATGATATTACTGTTAATATTGTAATAATTACTTTCAATGCGTACCATATGTGTTTGATAAAATTCTTCTCCTTCTTTCCTAGGTAAAGGCTTGTTTTTCTACAAAGGGAAAGTTGAAGATTCGGCCACAGCAGAGATTTCCAGATCACATGTAGGTCTAAGGGGGGACTCTTTGGGGGAGCTTTGAACAACCAAGAGGGTATATACCCAAACAGAATATGGAATATGGCACACTAGACATAAGTGTACCACTGCTGTAATGCTTAAATGATAACAAGCCTCCAGTCACTAGGTGGCAGCAACTCATATAGTGGTTTGCACAGACGTAAGAAAATAAAAGAGAAATAAAAATGTGGACCCCACACCTTGGGAAAAAAAGTCTTTATCAACTTGACTTTCATCAACTGTTTCTGCTATATTTTTCATTAATATAAACTTGATACAATATTAAATTTACTGTAAAAAAAATGAAAGGCAGAGTGTGTTTTGAGAATTTGGGCTATAAAAATAAGACATGACTAAGCTCATAACATAATATTATGCATCTGGATGACAGGTATGGCAGTGGATCCATCATCAGGTTCAGCTGGAGGACGACAGAAGGACAGTGAACAGGTCACTGGTGACTGAAATAACAAAAGAGGTCATGAAGGAGCTCAATACACAGTGTCATTCTTTAAGGTAAGCAGTCACTTTTGAACAAAGCAAGAAAAAAGAAATAGTCAGAGAGCAGATACTGACTGTACCACTGGCTGAGTTCTGTTCATTTGCATTTATACTGTATGGAAAAGTGATGGGGATATTTCAAAAGTACTTCTAACCATCTCCAATAATGACAATAATGTCAGTCCATAGGGAGAGCATGGGAGCTGTAGTCATTTCTACATGTAAATGGTGTGTGTTTCTGGTGTGTCCACTATAATTTACTATATATATTTTCTCATTTTTTTGACAATGCTTCTCTGTTCGTATAAGTACTTTATGTAGTCCCTCTCTATATCGCAGTTCTCCTTGCGATGTACCAATGGGTACATCGCAAGGAGAACTTTTATTCCTATTTAGCGAGAGTTTCGCTATATCGCGTTTTTCTAAAGTAAATATATATTTTTTTTATTTCATTATTTTTGTGATAAAAAACATTTTCTAACCTAAAAAAACCCCAATAAAAATATAGCAAATATATAGATATATATTTATATCTATATATATATACTTATACTTTATTTTTCTTTACAATAATGTTCTCTCCTGCGCTGTGTCCGGCTTTGATATACATATCGTGTACAAATGTATGCACTCCTCTGTTCACTCCCTCGGCCCCGGCTCCTACTAATATAAGGAGAGGCTTGATTTCATCGAATTGCGCTGACCTGCGTCCGGGGCTGCAACTGCGGTGCCAGCTGAGCGCTAACCTCCAAATTTAATTTATTTACGTAATATGTCTGTCTTATATTTTCATTATACAACTCTGCATATAATTGTGTGGGAAAGGGTAATACAGTCTAGGGAAGGTTGATAACAGTATGGGCAAGGTCCCTAAAGGGTAAATATATATGTAAATATATATGTAAATATATATAATAACTATCTCGCCTCTACTTCGTGGATTTTCCCTTTTCACGATGGATCTTGGAACGCAACTACCGCAAAAGGAGAGGGACCGCTGTAATACTATTAGAAGGTGTGCATGGGCACTTCATAATAATTCCACATTCTTACTGGGACTTTAAAGTAGGCTACAGCATCTGCAGATCAGCATCTGTTTTAGACATACAATGAGGTCATCAATCATCAATGAAGTCAGCATCGATTGTCAAGAGTGGAACACATTATGACAAAGTTTTATATATATATATA